AGGTTTGTTTGTTTTTTTTTTTATTTTTATTTTTTTATATATATATACCTTTTACACTTCTTTTTAGTCTTATAATCTGCTTGTGGTTGACTGATTTCTCAGTTGAACGCCGCTGAGATTGCTTCTGTGGTAGCTTCAATAAAGATTCCTCCAAAGGTCGAAGAGGGTAAGGCTCTTGACTCAGAACCTTTGGTCCACGTGAAAGTGCAACAAGATTCTGCTCAAGGTGAACCCTCTTTTGAGCTACAACCTCCTTTGAGTCTGAACAAGGGTATATTTCTTTCGACTTTACCCTTTGTGTGGTAACTTCTTAATGAGAACTTATATATTTCCTTTTATACAGGTTCAACTGAATCTCTAAGACCATTCACTACTTCCCCTTCAACTCAAGGTGGTGCTACTTCTTCGATCCAAGGTCTTTCATCAATTCCCTCTCTGGATTTCGATTTGATGAGTTTCTTCAACGATGGAGATGAAGATATCTCTAGTATTTTCGAAGTCTTGGATAATTGGACAAGTGGTCCTTCTGAATCGGAGAAAGAGAAAGGAAAAAATGTTGAGCAAGTTTCTGAGACTCCATCGTATCAACCTTTGCTCGATTCCTTCCGATCCAAGGCTTATGTTGAGGACCTTGATCAGGCTTTCCTTATTCCTGGGTTCAAGGCAGAAGTTCAACAAATGATGGACGATCTACTGTGTTACTCGAACCTTCCTCCTGAGGTCCATTCTAAGCTGCAAGAATTCGTTAAACCTTTTAGCCTAGCGTGGGACCTTCGCACTCAATGGTCTAACGTTTATCAAGAAGTGGCTCAGGTCGAATTTGAAAACGAGGAAGATAGGGCTAAGCTCGAAAAACTCCGTGATGACTTGATTTCTCTCAAGGATTCAACGGCAGAGATGATTTCTTCTTTGCAACACTTACAAAAAGAAGAGGCAGATATCGAGAACACCATTAAGGCTATGCAACATGAATTGGACAAGACTCGCTCCAAGAAAGATGCTGTCAAGGTTCAGAGTCAAGAAATCAAACAGCGTCAGACAGGCCTTAAGGAGGAAGGCAAATTGATTTCTTCGAAACTTGCTAAGGCCTTGGAGCAGAAAAAACACCTAGAAGCCCAATGTCGCTCTCGAAGAAAAAGCTTAGATGATGCTTATAGAGCTTTCAAAGAATTTAAGTCTAAATTTTGTAATAATTAGATTTTCTTTTTCCCGTTTCTCTTTTTCTATTTATCCCTGAACAATTATTATTCTCCTCTTTTATGAAAGCATTTTAAGTATTTGCCATTTATCACCTTGCCTGTACTCGAATTTAATTATTTAACCATGTATGCGTTGTTTGAGTATACTTGCTCGATTACGAAAGGACCTTCCCAATTGTAAGACCATTTACTAAGGTATCGAGATTTTTGATCCATGGGCAGTATTACCTTTAACACTAAGTCCCTAACTCGAAATTGCTGTGCTTTAACTCTCTTATTATATGATCTTTCAATTTTTTCTTTTTGCTGAATGAGATGCTGCAATGCTATTAGTCTTTCTTCCCCTAAAGAGGTCAATTCATCATACATTAAATTCCAATAATCTTCAATGGGTAATTCATTTTGTTTCTGTATGTGAATTGATTGTAAGTTAATATCTATAGGAAGAATAACCTCATGCCCATACACTAACTTATATGGAGTAGTTTTCGTAGCATCTCTCGGAGAGTTTCTATAAGCCCATAGTATTTGAACAAGAGTTTCGTGCCAACTTCGAGGTCTATTTGATATATGTTTTTTGATTAACCCTATCACCACTTTGTTGGCCGTCTCGACTTGACCATTTGCTTGTGCATAATACAGTGTTGAAGTTATTAATTTAATCCCTCTTGATTCCATGTATTGAGCAACTTTTCGACCTGTGAAAACTGTGCCTTGATCAGTAGTAATTGTTTGGGGAATCCCAAACCTTGTAATAATGTGATCTTCGACAAAATCAATTATGTCTTTTTGCTCGACTTCTTTTAAAGGAATAGCTTCAACCCATTTTGTAAAATAGTCTATGGCGACTAATATATATTTGTGGTTTTTCGAGGAAGGTGGGTGTCTTGTCCAATTAAATCCATTGCCCAACCTTGAAATGGTCAGGGTTTGATGATCGAATGTAACTCACTTGCTGGTACCTTTTGTATTGGTCCATATTTTTGACATTCCTCACAACTTTTTGCGAATTCGATACAATCCTTAATCATTGTTGGCCAATACAAACCTTTTCTCGACAAAACCCATTTCATCTTCTTCCCAGCCTGATGTGCTCCACAAATTCCTTCATGTATCTCTGCCATGGCTACATAACTTTCATGATTTCCAAGGCACTTAAATAAGACTCCATCAAAACCTCTCTTATATAATTCATTATCTAGCAATACATAATTGAGGGCTTGGAGCTTAATCTTTCTTTCAACCTTTATATTGGGATTTTGCAAGTATTCGATCAATTTGCTTCTCCAATCTTATTGACTCGAGGAACCAACGCTCAAAATTTCTTGATGATCCATCCATTCACTCTCTATATGCAACAACCATTCTAGACACTTCTTACTTATTTTATATCCTGATGCAGTTTGAGCTAACTTGTTTGCAATGGCATTCGAGCTTCGAGGAATATGTTGTAACTCAACCTCATCAAAAGTGTTAAGCAAATGCACAACTCGAGCTTTAAATTCAATTAACTTTTCATTTAAGCACTTATACTCTTGTGTTAATTGTTTGATAACTAATTGCGAATCACCTCGAATTAATACATTTCGAGCGCCTAACTCCATCAACATTTCGAGTCCGGTTATTAATGCTTGAGACTCAGTTTCATTGTTCGAGTACCTTTTGTTCGTTTCAAATGACACTTTAGTCGGCAATCCTTCGGGAGATATGATTAAAAGACCTATTCCAGCACCTGACTCGTGTTTCGATCCATCAAAATATAATTGCCAAGGCTTTGTGGTTAAGTATCCAATATCTTTCATTTCTTTCGAGTGATCAGCGAGAAAATCAGCGAGTATTTGACCTTTAATTGCTTTTAATGGCTCGAAAGTGAGCGAAAATTCAGTTAACGCAAGTGCCCATTTACCAACTCGAGAATGTAAAACAGGTTTACACAACATATACTTAATCACATTACTTCGACTTACAACATCACGAGTCTTAATATAGTACTTCAACTTTGTACAAGCAACATATAAACTTAAACATAATTTCTCTAAAGGGGAGTATCTACTTTCTGCACCTACTAACATTCGACTTAAATAATAAATGACTCTCTCGATGCCATTATTATCATCTTGCGCCAGCATGCCCGCAATAGTCGAATCACTAGCTGAGATATATAACTTAAGTTGCTTCCCTTTAGAAAGTGGTGCCAATACGGGAGGATGAGCCAAGTATGCTTTAATTTCCTCGAACGCTTTCTGGTGCTCTTCATTCCATCGAAATTCTTGCTCCTTCTTCAAACGTAACAGAGGAGAGAAGACTTTAGTTTTACCAGACAAATTCGAGATAAACCTTCTCAAGAAATTTACTTTACCTAGGAGCGATTGAAGTTATTTCTTGTTCGACGGCGGTTTAGTCTCCAAGATGGCTTTGGTTTTGTTCTTGTCTACTTCAATCCCTTTTTGGTGTATAATAAATCCTAGAAATTCTCCTGCTGTAACACCAAAAGCACATTTTAGTGGATTCATTTTTAAACCATGTTTCCTCATTCTCTCGAAAGATAATTTCAAATGATATAAATGATCCTTTTTTTGTTTCGATCCGACAATTATATCATCAATATAAACTTGAACAAACTTACCAATTAAATCATGGAATATTAAATTCATTGCCCTTTGATAAGTAGCACCTGCGTTCTTTAATCCAAATGGCATCATCACCCATTCATAGACACCCAGAGCACCTGGACATCGAAAAGCAGTTTTCGATACGTCATTAGCTGCAATATAAATTTGGTTATATCCAGAATAACCATCAAGTAAACTCATAATTTCATTACCTGCAGCAGCGTCTATCATGGTTTCAGCAATGGGCATAGGATATTCATCCTTGGGCGTTGCTGTATTGAGATCTCGAAAATCAATGCATACCCAGAGTTTCCCATTTTTCTTTATAACAGGCACTATATTTGAAATCCACTCAGGGTATCTCGAAGTTCTGATGAACTTCGCTTTTAGTAGTCTCTCAATTTCTCCCTTGATTCTTTCGATTATCTCAGGAGCGAATCTTCGAGGAGTTTGCTTAACGGGTTTCTTTCCTGGGATCATGGGTAGCCTATGCTCTACCAACTCTCGATCTAATCCTGGAATTTCATCATAATCCCATGCAAAGCAATCTTTATACTCGTGCAAGACTCGAATGATTTCCTCCTTCATTTCCCCTTGTAAGAACTTGCTAACATAAGTCACTTTTTTATTCTCGATGGTCCCCAGATTAACTTCTTCGAGTGGGTCTTGGGATTCTAACTTATGCTCTTCTTTAACTTCCCTTTCGAATCCCAGGGGCGAATCATCGAAAATACAGTCTAATTTGAAGTCAAGCTCTTGCTCTTCATACTCTTGTTTTTTCGACCCCTTGGCCTCTTTCTATTTTTTGATTGTTACTCGAGATTCGTTGATCTCTTTGTTTTTCTATTTTTTGTTTTTCCTCAACCAAAATGGCCGTACTTTTGTCATCTGTTTCCAAACATCTTTCTTCACTTTCAACTTTGGCCATATCGGTCGTTCGATCGGCCACATAGGCTGATATTCGAGCTAAAAAGCTCGAATAAGGATTCTCATCCTTCATTCCTCTAGTGGAGCCGAATCCTTTTCGGCTTGAATCACGAATCCTCTCTTTACATCCCAACAGAAAGTTTTCTTAACTCCTTCTTCTTCATCCATCACCCCCGAATTATAGGCATCAAACAGTTTGGTCTTGGCAAATGCTGTTAGTTGTTGATCAGCAAAATACATGTCAACTTCATAAGTTTTCTGATCAGCTTCGAGGACCTCTAACCCTTTCATCATTGTTCCAGAAGAAAATCTTCTGATGCACTTTCGAAGGAACAGCTCCTACTCCATGTATCCACTCTCGACCTAGCAACACATTAAAGTTTGCCTTAGAAGGCGTCACTATAAACATGGTAGTCCTCTTCACACTCCCGATCTGTACATCGAGCAGAATCATGCCTTCAGGATGTGAAGACTTGCCTGCATAGTCAGAGATCATAATGTTATGAGGTTTCAAATCGGTCAAGGATTTCCCAAACCTATTTAACATTGTCTTGGGCAGGATATTCACAGCCGCGCCTCCGTCGACCAAAACCTTGTTCACCTCTTGCCCTTCGATCATCAAGGTCAGCAAGAGAGGTTTAAGGTGCCTTTCATTTCTTCTGTGGGAGAATCGAACACCGCAGAATTGAACTTGGGGATAACCCTCGAAATTTGATTCACCCATATAACTTTGGACTCATAATTAGGATCTTCAAAATAATCCTCTCGATGAATATCCTCTTGTTCATTGACAGACTCCATAGCCCCAGCATACTCAGAAGGCAAAATGGAAACTACCCCACAAATGTCTTCCAGAGAATCCTCGAACCCGCTCTCGAAGCAATCAGTAATCATGTCCTCGTCATCTTCGATATACTTTTGGGACGATTCTCCTCTTTGAGGAACTGGGACTGAAAAGCGATTTCCCCCAACGCCTTCGAAAGTAGCCTTTCGCATCCTCTATTGCCTCCTCCATTGGGTCTTAGTTAAATTATTGAATGGTTGTCGAAAACCCCGTCCGTATCCACTAGTCGAGAATTTGCCAGGCCCTGGGGCCAAATTCGAGAATCTCCCAGCATTTCCCTGTATTGGGTTTTTAGGGTAAGTTACTATCTGTTTACCTCGACCCATTCCACCAACCATGGGCCTCGGAGGTGCATTCCATTTTGCAATCGGAACATTTGCATTTGGCACAAAAGTATTGCCAAACCTCGCAGAATTGTACATCTCCATTTTTCCCACGGGAGCATTGTACTGAGGCATATGGACCTGCCTCATAGTCACCCCAGTGTTCGATCTAGCATTTAGCTTAGGTTTCTCTCGAAGACCTCCTGCCTTATAACTTCTCATCATATCTGATTCTTCGAAGGCTTTGGCAGCCGCTTTGTCGAAGACGACACTACATCGGGGGCATAACATTACCTCCCTATCGGCCTCCTTCTTTTTCGACAGAAATTCGACCAAGCTATCTCCCTCCTTAGGATAGATGGGCTCTTGCTCTTTGGAAAAATCTTCCATCAATTCTTCCAGCTTCTCATCAGAAATGGGTTCAATGTTCTCATCTTCCTCAACAGCAACGTCTACCATATTGATTCCCATTGTCATAGGTTCCACATATCCAGTATGGGCAGCAAATGGATCAGTATCCACTTTCATATCTTTACCCTCAAAAGCAAGACGACCATCAGTAATCGCTCGCTCGATCAAATCCCTGAAACGTACACAATTATTAGTTCAATGCCCATACATGTTATGATATTTGCAAAATTTCTTTCCCTTCCTTTGTTCGAATGGTGGAATTTTATGGTTTTCTGGAAGCACAATTTGTTTATCTTTTAGCAAGATATCAAATATCTTTTCGGCTTTAGTTACGTCAAAACTATACTTCTTAGTTGAGGTTCCGTCTATATTCTCTCCTGGTTTTAACATTTGACATTGATAGGTAGGGCCAGGACGTAATTCAGCTAAGTTAATCTCAAAATCTTCATTCGAAGCCTCACAGTTAGGATCTTCACTCAACTCGAGATTTTCTAAATAAGCAACCCTTTCTTTTCGAACAAACTTATCAAATTTTCTTAACCTTTCTTTCTCAATTTTAATCTGTTCGATCCTCCTCACTTTTTCGGCCAGTTGAGCCATATCTCTCAATTGTTCGTTTACTAATTTCTTGCGTATTGAGAAATCTAACCCTGTTGCTGCAATCCTAACTAATTCATGTTCAGGTATATTAGTATAACATCGAGATTTCAACTGCCTGAATCTATTTAAATAGTCATCTAAAGTTTCATTATTTTGTCTTTTGATGTTCATTAGATCGACTATACTCACTTTCGTTTCCTCGCTAAAGAAATGCTCATGAAAACTACCCTCTAACTGTACCCAGGTCTGTATCGAATTAGGAGGTAAGGTAGTAAACCATGTAAAAGCATGTTTGGTCAACGAACTAGGGAAATATTTCATTTTTAAATATTCGTTATTTGCTAAGTCCCCACATTCGACCCCATACCTAGCTATATGTTCGACTGTTGACTTAGTCAGTTCTCCTGCGAATTTCAAAAACTTGGGTACTTTTACTCTTCGGGGTAGTTCTGCTTGTGTAATGTAATCAGGAAAGGCTGACACGAAATATGGGCGTTCATTTCGACCTACATCGAATCCATGCCTATTCAATATTCTCTCTACCATTTGGTCTAAATGTTCATTGGGATTCCCATTAGGTCGAACTACATTTTGAAAATTTCCATGCCCCCCCGGGTTTTCTATGTCATTCAAGTTTGCACTCATGGCTCTCGAAGGTGGTCCCTCACCCAGTCTATCCCCTATTTTGTTTATCAATTCATACAGAGGAGTCATAATATTATGCATTTGAGTCGACAACAAATTAACCATGTCATGATTACTATGGTCCATTTGCTGTCGAAGAGCCATCATAGCTTGATTACTAATTCCCGTGGGTACGTAACTGCTTTGTCGAATTAACGACCCTTCCTTACTTGTTCCTACATGTTGATATGGGTCTTGCATAACAAACCCCATGCCGTTTGGTCCAGGATTATATCCCTGTGGGGATATATGCATTTGGGGATTAGGTCCTATTAAGGGTATTGGCATGTCAACATGTATAGGTTGGGTATTTCGCCAATTAGGCGGCATACCCCAGGGATACTCCCTAGTGACATTTACCATTTCTTGAGTTGCATTAGTTTGCCTTGCTGTGTTTTCGAGTAACACAGGGGAAGCAGATGTTGCCCCCCTGGTCGCATTAGTTGCATTATCAGGATTGGAGGTTGGTTGCTCTACATCAGCATGATTATTATTATTATTACCAGTTTCCCTATTAGATGACATGGTCCGTCCACTCCTAAGTCTCATGCACTAAATACACCTAAAACTAGTCCAATTATGTTTTAGATTAAACGGGTCCCACTGGGCGTGCCAATTTGTTTACTGTGAAACTCGTTTTTTATGGATTCTTTTTATTCGAACTAGCACGACACGCGTTTCAATTTAGGTATATATTGTTTGGAATTTAACGGAGAGGAGAAGAGAAGGAGCAGAAAGATTAATGACTACTTGTTTCCAAGAATTCCTCAATAATTAACAAGTAACTGTTTCCATGAACATAAATACTCAACTGAACAGAATGAACAACATATATATTTGTAATACAGATCATGGTTCACTCACATAATTAACAGATATTACAGTACCATAATGCTTGAACTACTTAATCAAAAGAACTTAAGAAGAAGAACTACACTAATGCTTCAACTAATTAATAATGTGGTTGTAACACATTTGAAAAAGAGGATCAAGAATATGGGAGGGTTAGTGATGGATGGTCAATTTTTTTATATGAGATGTTGTGCCCATATACTAAATCTAGTAGTGAATAATGGTTTAAAGGATGTGCACAATTCAATTGCAAGTATCCAAATAGCTGTTGGATTTGTAAGGTCTTCACTCGAAAGATTGGATGAGTTCAAAAAGTGTTGAATTTTCAAGAATTAAGTGTAAGAAATTGTCATATCTCCCACAAGATGGAATTCTACATATATGATGTTAGATGCTGCTGAAAAATTTCAAGATGCCTTTGAAAAAATTGACTATGAGGACTCAAGCTATGTAGAATTTTTTTGGGACATGGCTAGTTGTCCAACTATAGTTGATTGGGAGAATGTTCGAGCATTTTTGAAGTTTTAGAAAATTTTCTAAGGCCATTAGGGTTTCCTCTACTTTATTACATATCATTTTATATGTTGCATTTCATCAACTCTCATCCATTTCTTTTGAACTCAAACAATCAACTATGAACCTTAACAATATTTTGGCCATGATGGGTTTTGATATGAAGCAAAACTATGACAAGTATTGGGGTAATATAAATAACACCAACCAGCTGCTATATTTTTGAGTTATTTTTAATTGTTATTACAAATTATAATTTGTGAATTGGTTATTTGAAAAAATGTATTTAGATGATGCAATTTTTGTTGATAATTTGTCCATTTCTTTTAAAGAAAATTTGTTCCAAATGTAAAATTGGTTCAAGACAAATTATGAGAAAGAGAATAAATTTGTTGAATCCTCTCATGGTTCAAAATTTTGTGCCTCCCATAGTGAAATACCTGCCTTTGCTAAAAATCCATCATATTTGGCTAGGAAATATGACTGTGTCGGATGTGAAGATGATTATATTGTTGTGTTTCATATTTAATTATTATGAGTTGTTTATTGTTTCTAGCTTATCCTTGCATGTTTTCATGTGGTTTGAACTACGATGATCATACGTTGTATGGGAGCAGGACAATGATAGGCCGGGAGATAGCTGCTAGAGGCCACAGGAGGTGCCTGGAGATGAATATTTTTTTTGTAGGCTAGCTTATAGTAACATATTTTGTTGTATATAACTGGTCGTTGTTGGTTGTAGTGTTGTTTCGTAGTGTGACGGTCACGACAGGTCGTTACATTTATTAATAAAATTAAAACGATATTAATTAACATTAATAAAAGATTTTTAACATTTTCATTTAACTGTTTTAAAACATATTAAATTTATTCAACATTTTTGTATGTTACTTACTACTAATGTATATCAATAAAATAACGATGATTAATTATTAGTAATTAGTAAATAATTACTTACCTATAATGGATGCTAATGTTAAATTTATCTCCTGTAGTACATTACTAAGATGTTGAAGTAGGAAAATTTTTTATTTAGAAATTTTTAAAAAATGAAAATGTTAAAAATCTGTCTCATTTTAAATTTGGATACAATTATATCAAAATTGAATTTTAATATTAAATTACTACTAAAAATAATTATTAATTTTTTTAAAAAAATTTGGATACAAATATATCAAAATTGTATTTTAATATTTTCCTTTTATTTAAAATATTTTATTAATGTTAATTAATATCATTTTAATTTTACTAATCAATACTAAGATATAAGAGGAAAAATGTATATTTTATATTTTTTCATGTATAATTATTTCCAGTAGCAATTTAATATTAAAATACAATTTTGGTATCTCTGTATCCAAATTTTAAAAAATTGAATAATTATTTTCAATA